ATAGTTAGATAGATAGATAGATAGATAGATAGATAGATAGATAGAGAGAGAGAGAGAGAGAGAGAGAGAGAGAGAGAGAGAGAGAGAGACCGTGATTGAGAGAGGGTCCGAGCTCCTTGCTTTAACCCGGAAAGGCATTTTTCGGATACTAGTTGAACAACGAATCAATTCGCAGTTATTGGTGTGCAATAGAGTGCCTTAAGGAAGTGTCAAACCGTCATTGGCTCTCTGTGCAAATTGCCATTAGAACTCTTAGGGAACCTTGATGCGAGGTTGATGTTAGGTCGTGATCTGTTTGGTGACTGAGCACCTTCAAGAAGTGTCAAACAGTCGTTGGTTGTCTGTGTGGATCGCCAATAGCACACTTAGGGAACCTTGATGATGGGTGTGGATTTGCTTCCTGCAGGTCAGCAGTTATTGGGCAATCTTTGATGCTCAATCGCAACCGGGGCTAGGTTGGTGGGTCTGTGGTGGGCGTTCCTGTTGGACCTGGATCTGTTTCGAGCAGAGTTTCGCACTTTAGAAACAAAATTGAGCTCCAGTCCCGCAGGTTATAAGTTGTCGGGCATTCTTTGATGCTTAATCGCAACTGAGGGCAAGTTTGTGGGCCTGTGGTGGGCCTTTCTGTTGGACCTGGATCTGTTTCGAGCCGAGTTTCGCACTCCACAAATAAAATTGAACTCCAGGTCCCGCAGGTTATTAGTTGTTGGGCAGTCTTTGATGCTTAATCGCAACAGGGGTGTAGGTTTGTGGGTCTGTGGTGGGCCTTCCTGTTGGACCTGGATTTGTTTCGAGCATAGTTTCGCACTCCACAACAGAATTGAACTCTAGGTCCCGCAGGTTATCAGTTGTCGGGCATTCTTTAATGCTTAATCGCAACTGGGGGCAGGTTCGTGGGCCTGTGGTGGGCCTTCCTGTTGAGCCTATATCTGTTTCGAGCAGAGTTTCACACTCCACAAACAGAATTGAACTCCAGGTCCCGCAAGTTATCAGTTGTTGGGTAGTCTTTGATGCTTCATCACAACTGGGGCATAGGTTTGTGGGTCCGTGGTGGGCCTTCCTGTTGGACCTGGATCTGTTTCGAGCAGAGTTTCGCACTCCACAAACAGAATTGAACTCCAGGGCCCGCAAATTATCAGTTGGTGGGCAGTCTTTGAT